GAAGGGGCACGTGACCCCGTTCCCTTTTCGCGGTGAAAAATAGAAACCGCAGGATAACAAATGCAATTTGCTTAAATGTTTATCGCAGCCACAACAACACAACATTTGTAATCAGAGGTCACAAAAAGGGAATGGGAATGGGAAAGCGTTGAAATCGCGTCGACAGTTAATGAGATTAAAACACCCAGCGGGTATCCTTTGGCCTGGTCGGTTATCCTGGCCCAGCGGGATATTCCACAATGCCGAATTGCGCAGTGCCCGACCGACCGAATTGAGAAGTCAAAAGTGCGAGAGTGTGTGTTAGTAAAACAGAAGGAAGTCGAGGTTGTCGAGGGAATAAAAAAAAAGCCAAAGGAACCCGAAGGAAACTAGGGAATGCCTGGAATTTGAGAATTCAAAAAACCGCGGCATAAATCACTGCCATAAATTAGTTGGCTTTTAATTACGATTATTATGCTGATAATAGCGCGCATTTAACGCGCGATAAACATAAATAATCGTGTCAAATGCAAACAGATGTCGAAACAACATGACAACGGAGATGCTGCCAACAACTTCAACAACTTGAATAACTTCAACAACTCCAAATCACGTTGTCTCCATTCAGGCGACGACTAAAGATTTAAATGATAATTCCTTGGCGCTATGAACTCGTTATGTGCCCTGTAATATTTAATATATTTTTTCAGATAATTAAGCTCAGGTAGCATATTTAATTTAATAAGCTTTAATATTTAATACATTTTTCAGATTTTATCTAAGGCAGCTAAATGTGTCCTTAATCATAATAATTAATACAGTCAGCATTTAAATTTTACTATTTAATTATTACTTATTGGAATAATTTATTATTGAACATTGTAATGCTGAAATAAAATCGAATACAGGTTGTCCTTTAAACTAAATTTTAATTTCGTAATTGAAACTTTTTAGTTTGGGTCTGTTTCTTTAGTTGCTCTAAAAATGATATGTTCATTTCTTAACAAAAGAATTTTTTGTTTTGGTCTGTTATTTAATTTTAAAATTTGTTATTATAATTTATTTCAATTGAGAATAGTTTAGAATTCATTTAAAAAAATACATAGAATAATAAAAAAAAATAATATTCTCATGTCCTAGCAAATTTAGGTTTGTTTACTGGTTTTTTATTAAATCATTATAATGTTTTATATATTGCTATAATCGTCGCTTATTAAATATTAATTGTGTAGTATTTATTGGGTTAATCCTTATTTCATAGGTCAAAATTTTGTATAAATTCACACGATAGCCCAAAAAAAAATGTGCAGTTTCTGTAATCAAGTTATTTAGTTGGGCTTACCCCATTTCACTGATTTATTTACAGGGTATGCAAATATTTTCTGTGCGCGCTTCATTTTTTTCCTTAATGAAAACAATGTGTGAACATGATTTGTGAACGGGGGCGGGCGGGGGGCGTAGCAACCATTAAAAGATTCTTGGGATGCCTTTTGGCATCTCCTCGTTGACAATTTCTGTTAGGGATGGGGGTTTTTTTGGGCTTGGAGATTGGGGCTTGAAGATTGAAGATTGGAGCATGGGAACTGATGAGGATCTCGTTTCTGGCGCCTAACTCCGCTCAAATGTGTGAAAATCATATTTTAATTAAATTTTGCTGCTAATGATTTTGTCAGCGTCGCTGTGCCGCTCGTTAATCATCATCTCGTTCTCGTTTTCATTTTCTTTTTCGTTTTGGTTCCTTCTGCCCCACTCAACTGCAGATATACCTTGCCGTTTCCTGATTTATTCAGTTTTTCTGTTTTATTCTCAGCTCCTTACCCACTAAATACAGTTGCGGTCACAATAATAGTGATGGGACAAGGTAAAGTGTTGGAAATCATAGCTTTAAGGCAAAGAGAAACCTTTTTTTTTTAACTTGTTTTGCTTACTTGCCAATAAACAAAATGAGACTAATTCTTTTAAATTTTTTTAGTGTTTCAAGCTAAATTAAAACTTTTAATAATTTCCCAAAATGCACTTTTCTGTATATACTGCAATATATACAGATTTTATAACAATTAAAGAAAATAACCATAAATCCTCGTTCATCTGCACATGTTATTGGAATAAAAATGATTATCAAAACTTGGTTTCAGACTATTTGCAGTTGATATTTCTTCAGCTGAAAAACTACTATTGTTTTGGCCAAAGCTGTATACTACACAATATATATATGCATACTTACAGCCAGCCCATGTCCTTTGCAAGCCGATGCCAAACGCATGTCCTGTCCTTTGTTTTATGTTCATAGCTATCTCTTTTTTCACATCCCCCCTCCCCAACAGGCAGTGTGTGTTTGTATTTTTCATTATTTTAATTTACAACTTGCTCTGGCGCTCTTTTGAAATCCAAATCCTTGAGCAGTGGATGGAGTGGGTGGAGGTCTTTGGTGAGGAGCCCAGCGGGATGCAGCTACCATGTGACACACAATACCCGGAATACAGGAGTCAAGGACTTTCGAAGAGCGAAGAGTAGAGTTGGCTCATTTCAATTTACCGCACTTAAGAATCCTTCGGGGAACACACACTTTAAGTTGCGCTTGATTTATGCCTTCAATAGTTCGCAATCCCTTTGGGCTGCCTTAAAACATTATATATATATTTATTAAATATTCCAGTATATACAAATTTGTAATAAAAATATAATATTATGTTCAATAAATCTAGTATTGCATATTTAACAATTTATTACTTCTTATTTAGTTATAAATAACTTAATTTCTTTCCTTCGAAAATTTAACTGTTTCTAAATTCGTTTTTTGATGACATTATGATATAATTTTATTTTAATACCTTTAACTTTCCTTAAAGAACCAGAAAGTATTATTTGATATTAAATCTTTATAACTTTTTACAATCCTCATAATTTCAAGCGTAATATGTATTAAAAAACTATTTAAAAAAAACATTATTTTGTAGTTATAAATTATTGATAAACGTGTAATCTGTTTTTTTATTTCTTTATTTTATTTATTAAAAATAATCTTGTTTTTAAATACCCACCACTTAAATGCAGTCCGTTACATTTCCGATATTTGGTCTTTATGGCTCTGCGAAACGCTTTAAGTGAGCAACCAGGACCTGCCATTAATTCTCCCTAATTTAGAGCCCTCATCGGCATTTACTTTGCCATCTCGGCCAGAGATCCTTATTCATTTGAATCTTGAATTCATTGCCCTGGCAAATTGTTTTTGCCCCCTTGGGCGACCACACCCCCACCGAGGATGTCAAAACACCAAAACACCAAAAATACCAGCGGGTAAAATAACTGCGCAGCTTAATCCACTCCAAACAATTTCTAAAAGGGGATGGAAACGATGGAAACAATCTGCACCCACTTGACGGGCAATCTGTTCCGAGGATTTGCGAGGACTTGCAAGGGTGCTCGGTCCACGGTAATAAAATTTAAATCACCCACACACATCAGGACATCCAGGGGTCGACCTTTTTGGCCACCCATCCACTCACATCCTTTTTTTTTTGCTTTTCGCTCGTCGAGATTGAGAGCGTTAAAAGTCGTTAACGACCAGATGAATTGGCATGAGTGCTGGAGGACAGGAAGTCCTTTAGCATCCCCAAATAAAACTCGAGGGTTAGCCACCCTCAATCAGATAAACATATTTTATGCTTATTTGCAGATACAAAGATTGATTTACCAAATTGATTTAGAGCCCCCTTTATCCATATCCTAACCCCCCGTTAAGTGATTCGTAATCGAACGTTTTGTTTTACATTTATTTTTAATGAAATTTGAAAAAAGCTTATTCATGCTTTAAATATTTATTTCACATAGACAAGAATTAAGTTATCTAAATCTAATCTAATCCAAATTGATTAAGAACCCCGTTATATGCATGTATCTATGTCTTAACTTTATTTTTAATGAAATTTAAAATGTTAATGTTAAATAATTAGTTTAGTAAGTGAAGATGATAACTTTATGAAGTCCATATAAAAATTGATAAGACCCCACATTTTCTCCATATATTCATAACCACCTGTTAAATAAATACAAGCCAAGCGTTTTATTTATTATGAATGAAATTTTTTAGTTTATATTTATTATTCTTATGTTAAATAATTCATTTATATAGACACAAAAGTAAAAATGGTTTCAACAAATTTATTTAGACCTGCTCTTTTCTTCACATATCCACATTTTAACCCCCGTTTAACAATTTAAATTCGTACATTAATTTTGAATAAAATTTAAATATTTAATTTTATATAATAAATTTACATTGACAAAAACCGTAATCGACTGCCCAAAGTCCTTATAAAAATTGAGTAACCCAATTGAATTAGAACCCGGTTTTCTCCACAAATCTTAACCCCCGTTAAATAATTCGTAATTGAGAATTTTGTTGTTCATATATTTAATTAGAAAATTAAATAGTTTATGTCAAATGATTAATTGTGTAATTGAAGATAATAAATTGATAAAGTTGATTAGACTCCCTTTTGTCCTTTTATCCACATTTTAACCCCCTCCCCTTTAAATAATTAAAAATCGAGCGTTTTGTTGTACATTTATTTTGAATGAAATTTAAATAGTTTATTCGTATTTTAAATAATTAATTTACATAGACAAAAAAAAGTAATCGAAGATGATAAATTGCTGATGCGACCTAAGTTTTTTTCGGAGGACTGGCCAAAGTCCTTTTTGCATCTGTGCTGTGTGTGTGTGTTTTGTGTTTTGTTTTTTGTGTGTGTGTGTGCTAAGTATCTAAATATCTGCTCTAAGCCTAGTTCAAATAAAACAACAAAAACACATTTAGTTAAGGTTTAGCTTGGGTTTTTAGTTGGGTTCGATTAAAGCACTAGCGTCTAAGATATCCTCGATTGTGTGTGTGTGTGGGTATGTGTGTGTTTGTTTGATCGTCGATCGTCGATCTTTTTTTCCTTCCGTTTTGGGTTTAGCAAAAATAATTGAGGGGACATATGCTAATTTTCTTCTTCTTGTATTTTTGTTTTTTTTTTTTACAATTTTGGTTCGCTCACACTTCATAATTGGACTAGAAATATATTTATGTTGATGTTTTCCTCCGCTTTCAATATTTATATATATTTTATATCTTCGTTTAGAATTGCATAATTTTTTTTGTTTTGTTGGGTGCTCGAAGCTTGTCTCTTGGTTAATATTTCATAGGCTTAGTATGTATTAAAAAAAAATTACATATACATAGGTCTAGTTCAAAAAAAAAAAAAATATTAAAAAAAAAGTTTTTTTCTTTTTTCTGTTTGTGTTTCTGTTTCGAAAAAGAACAACTAGATATTCTAGAAATGGCTTAGGCTATAATAGGCTATAAGCAATAGGTTTATATGTATGTTTGTTTAGTTTAGCGCAATAGACACATATTTTGTTCTTTTCATCTGATTTTTTTTAGTGTATATGTACAGTTAAGTTGTTCACTGCTGGCTATATATACAAAGGCCAGCGTTTTTTTTGTCAAAGAAATTGTTGCTTGTTGCCATAGGTTTAATGGAACCCTGTTCCTTGTTTGCCCCCAATTTTTTTTAGTTGGTAAACAGGAAGGGTCCCAGCGAACCTCAAACCATGGGTGGCTTGATGTCTACTAGGTGGCTGGCATCCAGACCTGGTGAGCCACTGCTGGTCAGGTGGTGGGCATGATGGTGGTGCAGGTGGTGATGTTGCTGCTGCTGCTGCTGTTGCTGCTGTGCAAACTGCTGGAGATGTTGCTGCTGCTGTTGGTGTTGCTGCTGCAAATGTTGCTGGTGTTGTTGCTGCTGCTGCTGCTGGTGTTGCTGCTGCTGCTGGTGTTGGTGTTGCTGGTGCTGTTGGTGTTGCTGCTGCTGCTGATGATGATGTTGCTGCTGCTGCTGTTGCTGCTGCTGCAAATGCTGCTGATGCTGCAACATCACCGGCGAACCGCCCGCGGCGACCATCTGGTGCGGCGTGGCCAGGTGCAGACCGCCGCCCAGCAGGCTGCTGGACGTGCCATTGGCGCTGTGCGCATGCAACGAAGTGGGGGTGCCGGGATGGCTGCCGGCTTGTGAATTACCGCCGGAATTGGTACTGTTGCTGGTGCTGGTGCTCGAATTGCCACTACAATTGATGGGTGAGCCACCGCTTCTAGTGGCAATGCTCGATACCGAACCGGAACCGGAACCGGATCCGGACACAGAACCACTGCCAGCGCCACCCCCGCCGCCGCCCACGACGCCCGTCTGTGGGCCACTGCCCACGCCGCCCAGCCCGTTGGACTCGCCCGACTGGTTGGCGGCCTCCTCCGAGTCGCTACACGACTCCGAGGAGCCCTTTTTCAGACCATTGGCACCGATACCGATACCGATAGCGGAACCGGAAGCGGAACCGCCACCGCTGCCGGTACCGCCCGACCCCCCTGGGCCGTACCATTGTGCGTCTTGACGTGCTTGGCCAGATGGTCGCTGCGCATGAAGCGCTTGTTGCACACGGGGCAAGCGAAGCGCTTCTCGCCGGTGTGCGTCCTCAAGTGGCGCTGCAGCTCGTCGGAGCGTGTGAAACGCTTGCCGCAGAACAGCCAATTGCACACGAAGGGACGTTCGCCGGTGTGCCAGCGCAGGTGAGCCTTCAGGTGCGACGTCTTCCCGTACACCTTGCCGCAGCCGGGTATGTGACACGAGTGGATGTTCTTCTTCCGCAGATGGACGCCGGCTGGACCCAGGCGCTCTGCCTCCTGGCAGTTGGGGCAGTCGCAGGTGGCCCGCCCGGCATAGCGCCGCTGGGAGCGCGGCGAGGGCGTGGAATTGGAGCCACCACCCTGGGGTGAGCCCACACTGACGGCAGCCGCCGCTGCCGTGGCCGCCGCTGCAGCCGCCGCCGCCGACGGAGAGCTGTGCGGCAGGGAGAAGCCACCCATGCCCACGCCCACACCCACACCCACACCCTGACCCGGCAACATACTCTTGTAGGTGTCCTGCAGCAGGTGTTGGCCCGAATTCAAGAGCGAGTGACTCAGGGCGGAGCTGTAGTTCTCGCTGGCGTAGTTAGCCATGGTGGAGTGCATGCCGGCGGCACCGCCCATGTCCAGCCAGGAGCCGGCCGCACTGTGCATGTCCCACCAGCCCGAGTTCACGCTGGCCTCCTTGTGGCCGACCGCATTGAAGGGCCAGTCGTAGGGATGGCGCGAATAGACGCCCCCGAAGGCGGCCGCTCCGGCCGCCTCCACTTTGCCCAGGAGGCCCTGGTGCATGTGATGGTTGTCCATGTTCGAGGCCGTCGCCGCGTTGGGGAAGTACAGATCGCTGCCGTAGGCGGCCGCCGCCGCAGCCGCCGTCGCCGCCGCCGTCGCCGCCGACGAGGAGGAGGAGGACGCCGACGAGCCGCTGGAGCCGCCAGAGGATCCGGAGGCGGAGCCACCGCCGCCCACCGCCGCGCAGGAGGAGGCCAGGGGGCGACTGTAAGGATAGATGCTGAAATTACTCAGGGGTCGTATAGGGTACAGCTGCTGTCGGCGACAGCGCACAGCCAGGTCCAGCAGGGATTCCAGGGATCTAGAGCGGCGCCAAGGGACATCTAACTAACCTAGACTTTCTAGGAAAATTTATCTAATATCTCACTTCACTGGTAAAAAAAAGGTGGTAAGTCCAAATATTTCCTATTCAATTTAAATGTTTTCCCTTTGATTTTTGGTCAGTTTAAAATCAAACCATATTTTACATAAATAAAATTCATTTAACTAAAATAGGAACTTTTTAGAAATTTTAAGTTTAAAAAATAAGGTAATTTAATGTGCATTGTATTTAAAACTATGATTTCAAATATAATTTTAATATTTAATATTCAATTTTATATTCAATAGTCAGATATTTATTTTTACTATTCCATTTTTTAGCAGTGTACTCTTAGCAGTGCTCTCTGGATCATTGAAAGCACAGCAGCTATCTAATCTTACCATTAAAATATATATGTATATCTGATAAACACTTTTCCTTGCCTTCCTTAGACTGAAAATAAACCTTTATAATCTTATCCTTACATAGAAATATAACTGACTTTTTTATTTTTCAAAACCCTGCATTCATCATGCATTTTTTTAATTGCCTTATATTTTATTACCCTGGAGGCTCTTTGAATTTGCCATGCCAATATAAATTAACTAAATATTGTGTGTTAGCCATAATGTAGCTTTTATTTTACTGATATTTTTCATTTATTTGGTTTTTTATTTATTTTGTTTACCCTACTCACTGAGATCCTAACTAGACAAGTGTCCTTTTGGCTTAACCCCCTATCAATCCTTGAGAATCCGCTGGAGGACCGCTGTGCGCCGCCAGTGTGCTTACCTAGCCGTGATGTTCACCATGGTGCTGGCGCTGGCGGAGAGGCTCCTGCTGGAGGAGTGGCCACCGCTGGAGCCGCTGGAACTGGACGAGCTGGCCGCCGAGATGGCGCACGGTGAGTGCTGGCCACCACCACCTCCTCCACCTCCGCCACCTCCACTAGATCCCGCTGCCGGGGAATTGGGACTCTTCTTCCACGGATGGAAGCCCTTGCCCACGGCGGCATCGGCCAAAGGGGGCGGGGATTTGTTGGAGAGTTTGTTGCACTGGGCGGCCAACATGGCCAGCGGGGTTCCCCTCAGGCTGGGATGATCCTGCAAGAATAACAGAAAGGGAGTTCCATCAAAAAGGTGCCACAAATACATAAGAAAAACGGATTTTATTATAATTTTGAAGGGGTCAAAAAGGGTGTTTCCACAGACTTATTCTAAACACTTTTAAACAATTTTAAAGCAACAAATAACATATATGAAATTGTTTCATTATATTTTGTAAAATCTTTTGTGTGTATCAAATACATAAGAAAAAGGGATTTAATTATAATTTTTTAGGGGTCTATAAGGATATTTCCCTAAACCTATTCATTAAATAATATAATTTATAATAATTTTAAAGTCTATAAAGGTATCTTAAATTTAAATAACAAATTTTAAGACACCAAGAAAAATATATTCTTTTTTTTTCTTTATTTTAACAAAATTCGTATTCTTTTTTTATAAATATTATGAATTGCGTGGTGTTATCTTGCCATTTAAATGAAAATTCTTTTTAAACATGCCAATCAATTAATGCACTTGATTTGACTTATCCTTTTTAACTTCTAGTAAATATTTCCCATGGGAATGCTTGCATTTCTTAATTAACAACCGTTCGCGCGAATTTGCAAATTACTTAAATGCGAATTAGTCGAGCTCAATTTCGCTTCCTGCCCGGTTTTGCTTTGTTTTCAACGGTTTCTAATGTCTGCTGAAGGAGGGCAAAAGGGCAGACAGAGGGCCAGAAAGCGAACAGCAACCCACAAAATTAATTCGCCACGTAAATCAAAACTGAAATTCCCTTTTAGCGCTGCGAATGAGCCGCGTTTTTATGGTCTCTGGCATTTTGGATATACACTTTGGACTCCAGAAGGGTTAAATGAACTTGGGGAAGACTGAAGAAGAAACATAGACTGGTAAAAAAAATGTAATAAGTTCAAATGTTTTTTACTTCATTTAAATATATTTCGCATTGATTTTTATCCATTACGGTTTTAAAGCAACAATTAAATATGAAAATATTACAATTTTTTAAAAGGTTTTCATATGAATATTTTCGGAATGGATTTTAATATCTGAACATTTAATCATCATGCAATTTAATGTGCATTGTATTTACGAATATGATTTAATATTTAATTTAAATAATAAATATAAAGTTTTGAATTCAAATGTGTTCAATATGTTCTTTTTTTTTGTAAAAATTTTATTTTAGTTATAAAACTTTAATTTATTTTTTGATCAATATATCTATATCAAATACAACTTCTAGCTTTCTTTTCCAGTTAGTTGGCTAAACTATAAAACTATTTTCTATATTTCCAGAATTTATCTCTGCAAACTGTGTGAAAGTATTCAAGTGGTAATTATTTAATTATTTTTTCTTTCATACCAGAGTATAACACATTCGACTTTTTGTAAGCACTTTTCCCACAGACATTTATAATCTAGAAGTCCGTTTTGAGAGGAAGTCATTAAAAGTCGGCTCGTTTTGGGGATTCCTTGGCCAAAACTAATTTTCAATTCCGCTTTTTGTCTAGCGGCGACTCCCGGCACTTGTTTTCATTTCGATGCCTTTTCTCACTCCGCAAATTGCTGTGGGATTGACGAAGGTCGAGGATTTCTATAAAAGGATGGAAGGATATTCTACAATCTGTGGTCTCTTCTCGATCCTCAATCCTCGATCCTCGTCAAACACATTTCATGCCTGCCAGCTGCTTGAGTTACCGCAGCGAACAACCAAAACTGGGTAAAACAACCAAAACCAAAAACAAACCAAACACGGCAACAACGGCAACAACAACGCCAGAATTGTCAACAACAAGTTGAACAACTTTGGCAATACGGTAAAAGTTGTTCGACCAAGCCTCGATATATAGTACACTGATCCAAAATTAATCTGCCATCAATCGATTACCGGGGAAATGAGTCAATTTGAATTTTTCCCGTTCGCTAATTGGAGTTTGCTATTTATTTAGTTTTGTATCAAGACTCTAAGCACTAAAAAAATGTGTATAAAAATTGCTGGCCTAGTTGACAAATAAAATAAAATATATTAATTGTAACACTTTATGTCATTATTATGTTTAAGCACTACCATTTTTAAATAATGGCTATGTATTCTATTTTTTAGAAACGTAAATATTTATAACGCTAAAGGTTTTTTATTAAAATTTTAATTATATTAAAACTTATTTGATTTATATATAAAATATGTATATACTCCCTGTAAAAAAAATTTTAAAAAACTTCTTGCATTTAATAAAATGTTCTATTTTGGTTTTATCTAATTCCAAAATATTTTAAATTTAAAGAAAACATTTTCTTTTTGTTATGTTTTTGCTTTGAGGTAATTATTTGTTTGAGTGCAGTGTTGCCATTGCCCAGTAGACGTGGCCTCGTCTAGTTGTCCAAAAAAATTAAGTTAATAGTTTACTGACTACACTCGAGTCGGTCGATTTACAGTTGCCCAGTTTCGAGCTTTTACCGTTTCTATGGCGATTTGAAAGGGGGTGGTGGTGCATTGGTGGTGCAGTGGTGCAGCACCATCCAATGTAGATTGCTTTGGCAACCCGCAATCAAGCAGAGATCGGGATCAGAGAGCCACCGCGGAAGCTGCTATTTCGGCCAGTAATTGGCCACTCCAGAAATTGAGAGGGAGGCGGCTGGGGAATCCCCCTTTCAAGCCGCCCACCTTTCTAGATACCGCTGCGGTCAATGTAATAGTACCGAGACTAGGTAAGGTGCTCAAAAAAGCTTTAAGGCATGGGAGACATTTTCTTTTATTTTTAATATTCTTTTTCAAATATATTAAAATATCAAGCTATGATTTTAGAAAAAATTAAGAATGAAAACATAATTCCCCGTTTATCTGCACTTCGTATTCTAATAAAAATGCATTTAATGTCTGATCCATTTTTTAATTTATTAAATTTCTTTTTGTTAATCTTTTTTTAACTATTTTAAAATATTGTGCCTGTTTTAAATGTGGATTTTTATATTTTCTCCATTAAGTTTAAGGTAATATCTTTACGAAATGATACAAATAATGTTTAAAAGTAGCTTTCGAACAATTTTTGATTGCCATTTTCAGCAGCTTAAGAGTACTATTGTTTTGACCGCAGCTGTGTATGTACCATTGCCGTTTCCGTACTTCCAGTGGATTTCGGTTTGTGGCACGTTTATGTCGCTGCCGCTTTTTCAATTGCAAGTCTGCTCATCTCCTGCAACGGACAGGTGCTTTGGCAGCCTAATGACATCACCCATTCAAATCGTGAGGTCCCCTGGATCTGGGATATACAATATATCTGGATGGCCACCGAACTACTTTGGCCCCTCTCTCAGTCCAAAGCTACTAAAAAAAACACAGGCCCAATTCCAAACGAAACGAAAAAGCACACACTTAATTGGAGCAATTTCAACGTCGTGCAACTGCGCGTATGAGTAATGGCTGTGTGTGTTGGATAAATTATACAAAATGATATCGGGGCAGGCAAGTCAGTCAGTTAGTTAGTCAGTTAGTTAGTCAGTTAGTCAGTTGGTCAGCCAGTCAGGCAGTCAGTCAGGGAAGTCTGGCTCAAATTAAACTGCAACTCGATTTGATTAATCGATCAGGCTTTTGATTGCTGCGGTTTAAAGTGCCTTCAAAATAGTAAAGGTCAGTTTATGATCTTTACTTTACACTTTAGCTGTTATTCCATAAGCAAATACCTTATGCTTTCATTATATATGATAGTGAAATATGGTCCTTAGATTTTTGCAGAAAATTTAAGTATACAAATATTATTTATTGAAATCTTTCTTTGATTTCTTTTGCAGCTTATCTTTATATGACTTAAAAACTGAAAAGCAACTTATCCTCTTCCTTTTTCCTTTTTTTGTATTTCTTGTTAGCCACCCTATGATCTTGGTTATTATTTCATAATCAAATACTTCATTTCCTCTCATTATTAATGGATAATAAAATATGGTCCTCCAAGCTTTGCAGACCATAAAGACATAAACGTATTATTAAAGAAAACCCTCATTTGATTCCTTCCATACCCTATCCTAACTTGATTTTGCAACTGATTTACAACTTTTATCCATATTTGATCTTAACTTTACACCTTCGTCATAAAACACTTAAATATGGTCCTTCAGGCTTTGCAGAAAATGGAGACATGAAAACATTATTAATTGAAATCTTCATTTGATTCCATCCTCAGCTTATCTTAACCTGATTTCATAACTGATTTACAACTTCGCCTATACCCTTTTTATGTTTATCTTGTTGGCCGCCTTAGGAGGTCATGCAGTTGGCCTAATTAAAACAGTCGGATGTCATTTCCCGAAGGTGAAAACAGAATCAAAGAAAAAAAACGGCCTATCTTCAAAAGGCGCGAGCTAAACAAATTTGGTCAACACAGCAGGTAATGTCGCCAGTTGACGTTGCAAAGGTTGTATAGTGACCAATTCCCAAGTTCCCATTTCGGATTCGGATTCCCTTGGTCGAAATCACAGCGGGTGCTATCAGCAAATGGCGCTGCAGGTTCCACACCTTCTATCTACCTCAGCTCCCTTCTTCCCTCTCTTTCTCTCACCCACCCTATGCCCCTCTCTTTCACGCAGCCAACTAGCCATCTCATTCGGAGTTCGTTCGTTCGTTTTTCAGAGCGGCAACAAGTTGGGCTCACATCAATCGGAGGCGGTGTCATAATTTTCACAGCAGGTGTCGTCACTAATGATTTACAATGAGCCATAGAAAAACGGTTGAGAATTGGAGAATCCGAAAGAAAGGGGCAGAGAAATAGAGAGAGAGAGACAGATGCATTCTGTTGCATCGCCGTGTCGGCAAACAACAATAAAAATGTGAAAAATCTAAATTCGTTGTGGTCGACGTCGCTTCTCCGTTTGAAGTCTCAGCCGAAGACCAATTCATTATTCATCAGTTTGCATTGTGTAGGCCATTTATATATATATATATATATATAGTATGTCGGCTATAGGGTCCAATTCCTCATGGGTGGGGCGTTGCAGTGGCTAATTTGCCGCTGGGATGGATGGTTTTTCGACCCAAA